ATTTCTTGGCATGGGGTGGAGTGGAAAGATACGCTTAATTCAAGATCCTTGATTCAATCGGACTGTTAACACTTAGAATCATGGCATCACCTGTCTCCTTTGTCATGTTGGCAGATTCCTGTGCGCCGGTATCTTTCTTCGGTGCTCGGCAATCTCTTTTAAAGTGACCCTTCTTGTCACAATTATAACATGTAAAATCTTTCTTTCCCGTTCTTAATTTTCCCTTTCTAGATTTGGATCTGCCACGATTTGAATTTCTTTCTGAAGTTATCCCTCTAGACTCTGTGTGCAAGGCTGAGGAGGTTGATGCTTCACCTGATTCTCTCTGTCAAATTTCTTCACTCAATACCAGATCTCGAACATCGTCGAATTTCAATTTGCTATTTTTCGACGAGCTTCTGGCTGCTGTAACAGTAGCATTCCAACTGTCTGGTAGAGATGATAAGAGAATTAAAACTCGAACTTCATCATCAAATTCAATTTCCACGAAACTTAACTGGGTTCTGATTGTGTTGAGTTCATTTAGGTGTTGAGCCACTGATGCCCCTTCCGCCATCCGCAAATTGAATAGTCGCCTCATCAAGTGAACTTTGTTTGAGGCCGATGGCTTCTCATACATACTGGAGAGAGCCGCCATAAGACCCGCCTTGGTCTTTTCCTTTCCTATGTTGAAAGCAACATTGTGGGATAACGTCAGTCGGATAACTCCGAGGGCTTATCTATCGAGAAGAGCCCAATCTTCATTCTTCATGCCCTCTGGTTGCTTTCCTGAGAGAGGTTGATATAGCTTTTTCTGGTACAAAAAATCTTCATTCTGCACCTTCCAAAAGCCAAAGTCCACACCATCGAACTTCTCAATTTTCACATTCCCTTCGTCTACAGCCATCGCTCCCACTCGAATCTGGCTTCGTTTGGATCGTTTCTGACAATTCTTGCGAACCACCATGTATTAGAACACATCTGTCGATAAATTCGTATCGCCGATAAAAACATTTACTATTCACAAAATTCATTATTCATGAGAATAGTAATGAATAGGAATGAATAGCAAACTCGCAAAAAATTGACAAAATTCACAACCAAAAGTTCTTATTACCAGTTGTTGGAAAATAAACGAGTAACGAGTAATTTCCCTATAACCAGATTAGTGAGTATGTGAAATAAAAGCGGAAAAAAAATACCCGAAATTGATAACGGAGTTCAGCTAATTATGCCTACGTCTTCAGACTGCTGCAGATCTTTTACTAAGAGAGAAAATTTACAGGTGTTTACAAAACACTTAGTACTCACAAGAAAGCTCTGTAGTATTGGGAGAAAGAAATGATTTTGGGATGATTTTGAAGCTAAATGGGCTAGAATATTTATAGTTGAAACTTAAGGACTAATCTTGTAAATACCTTAAAGTGTGTAGGGACTAAAAATGTAATTTATCTATTTTTATTTTCAACATACATTAACCAAACTTTGAAAACCATTTTTCAAAGTTTGGTGCCAAACTTTGAAAACCATTTTTCAAAGTGTGGTGCCAAACTTTGAAAACCATTCGACCCCTTTGTTGAAAACTCATTCGACAGTAACCACCTTTTTTATTTTACAATCTCCCACTTGAAGACTGATTTTAATCTGTCTTCACACCTCGATCAATGCAGTAGCATTTCTGGTATCGTTACTCTAGCATGCCAATTGAAGTTGAACACAACTTCAGTTTGTTCGTAGTCACCGTCTTCGTTAACATGTATGTCAAATTTTGAGCTCCACTGATCTTTTCAAGTTTCAAAATCTCATCTTCCAGAAGAATCCGGATAAAATGATATCGTAATTGTATATGCTTCGTCCTGGAATGAAAAGACGGATTCTTCGCTAGATGGATAACACTTTGACTGTCGCAATACAAGACATTGTTTTCTTGTTTCTTACCTAACTCTTCCAAGAAATTTTGGAGCCAAACCATCTCCTTGCTGGCTTTCGTAACAACGACATATTCTGCTTTCGTAATTATTCAAAAGGCTTGGATGAGAAGGTAGAGACCGATTTCTCTTCTTCATAGACAAAAACAAAACCCTCCATACGACAGTTAAAGGGCTTCCCATAGGCCTTTTTAACCTGTACCTGGGTATTCCACAAAGAAAAACAGCTACGACAACAACCATTGCTTCTGCTGAAATTCTATGTCCCACCCTCTCTCTACATTTTCTTGTACATATACCAACACAATCACGGAGAATAATGACCAAATACTAATGTCGAAATAGAACCTGTTGAAGAAGAAAATCATAGTCTTCCACTCATTGGGATCCTTGATGTCGAATTGATCGGAGCCGAAACCGGAGACATTAGATTTTATTCCTCTACCACCTAGTGCTATTGTGTACAATGTTGTATACAACAAAGCCAATTGTCGGTCGTTTGCCTTGATACACTTGTGATGCTGTCTTCTATAGTCATCTCAGGGAAGAGGCCCCATGTTTGGAATTGTTGTGGCCACTGTTAATAAAATCACTCCCTGGTGCAATATGATATAACTTTAGAAATAAACAATACACAATATCAACTTGCATTTATAGCTCATCTTAACTTGTAAAGCACGTAATAAGTTAGCAACTCACCAGAGCAGTTATTGATGCAGAGATTACAACTGTTAGGAATCGGCTAAGTTTCACATCGACCAAGAAACCTTCAAGGAGACCAAGCAGATTGAGAGTGCCCATGAAGTTGGCTACTATTGTTGCAGATTTCACCGCCAAAATATGCAGATTTCCGACCAAGTATGTCCCTAGGTTCATAGATATGCCCACCTCACATATCCTCTTCGAGAAATCACATCCTGCAGTACCAAAATTCCCATTCATATCAGCAAAGAGCACATAATCGATGAAAATAAAACCACACTAACTTGTGAAGTTCATTATAAGAACCTAAGATGAGCCCTGCAGCAAGCCATCCACCAGTTCTCTACTTATCTACCGGATTTCCCCCAATAATCGACGGCAACTTCATGATTCGAGTCATCTCTCTCACCATGGCTTACAACCAAAACCTATTGGACATCCAAAGCAAAATTCATGAAGCAAATAAAAACATCTAACTAAGCTAATGAAAATTTAATCAGAAGGTTAACTATACCATGTTTGAAACTCAGAAATGAGAAGATAAAATATTGTAAAGGGGAAACTGAATGACAGAAGTGCATGAATGAGGGATTGGGAAAGATAAGTATAATAAAGGCCAAGATTCCACTGCATGTAGTTTGTTTAAGTTAGGCATGCATAAGCTATAAAAATTATAGAAGTTAGTCATTTTGGTGTGATTATCATCCTTAGTCATTTTGGTGTGATTATCATCCTGTGGTGCTACCAAATTAGAAACGACAACCCATGTATTCCTATAATAGTATTAAGGGATATAATAGGAACGATAGACAATTTCGTGGATTTCGTATTGCGTCCACTCCAATTAGGACGGGGATGGATATACGTTTAGTTGGTAGTGAGCGGGTGTGGATGTAAAAAGTCATACCATCATGAGTAATGGGTAGGTGATAATTTTAATACCTTACCTGCTCCGCATCCGCCCGCCCTACATCTGTCCATTAACTAATTACTCACCATATAAATTTTGGACTATTATGAATTTAGGTATAATTTCAGAGAATATCCTATAAATCTTAAGATTTTATAGGACACGACTTTTAATTTAACCAAATGTTAGGGTACAAACTCAATTAATCTTTGGTTTATTTTATTATACTTCTTAATGGATGTGTTTGTTTTATATTTTGTTGCTCATGTACTCTATGAGGTTTCTTTCAAGCGGTATAGGCTGATATAGACAAATACGAGATATGTGATGGATATCTAGTTGAATAGTGGGTGTGCGGGTGTATTTGAGGATGTATCTACGTAGGTGGGTGTGAATTATTAAAAATTTATGAAAATAATATAATTAATATTTTATTTTAAATAATCTATCTTTAAATTTTTAACTAATTTATAATTATACGTTGAGTCTTTTAGAATTTTAAATTTTTATAAATTAAATTAACGGTGTTTAGCGATGCTCATCGAGCGTTGTAGAATCTTCCGATTAATATTTTATTTTAAATAATTTACCTTTATATTTTTAACTAATTGATAATTATATGTTGAATCCTTTAAAATTTTAATTTTTATAAATTAATAATGCTCAACGTTGTTCATTGTTAGTGGTGTTCAGCAGTGCTCGTCGAACATTATAGAATTTTTCTTATTTAAGGGTTGGAGATTATGCCTCGTTTAGGTTTTGATAATTTGTTTCTTTCAAGAAAAAGTATAAAGACCTCTCTTGATAGAAAAATAAGTAAAATGATAATTCTTTGTAATATTTTTTAATAATACGGGTGGATATAATCTAATATTTGTTTAAAATTCTTTTAATTATTGATAACGTACACGCACATTATATATACATCTACTTGATCTTAGGACTTTCAAAGAGAATAATATTCTCTTTAACCACTAAAATTACTCAATATTAAGAACTAATTCACAAATCATCATCTTAAAATATTTTCAAATTTTTATATAAAATTTTCTAGGACCTAATTGAACAAGGTAATACATTTTTAAGGACTTTTAAACGTTGATTCCTAATTACTATAGGTATTCCATCGTAAAATTAGGAGGTTCGGTTTGAGATATCAAATTATAATTTTTCTATTAATCTATAATAAGATAATATAAGATTAAATATGATTTTTAATCATTTGACATTGAACGTTTATATTTGATATTCATGGTGCTCGAAAATATAATAAAAATGAGAATAAATACTGCACTTCCCCTGTACTTTGTTCAAATATTGAATTTTTGTAGTTCATGTCTCTCGCTATTATTAACATTCAACAAAAACAAAGATACAATAAAAGTGGGGCTTGAACGCCTCCAAAGACCCAATAAAACAAAACAAAATAAAAGTGTTTTAAAATTCTTTCTCACTGACACTATTTTTTCCTCTTGCTTTTTGTTCTCATTGATATTTATATATATTTTTCTAATAAGAGGCAGCCCATTCTGGTTCATTGTTTTCCTCTAGTTGTAACAATTTAGCGAAAACCCCAACTAATGGAGCCGTATTATACGTGCAAGCCTCGGTTTGCATGTAATTATCTCTTTGGTCTCCAAAATTATCTTCATTATCAGGTCCCCCGACCACCGCTCCGACCAACACGTTAGGATTCGGCTCAACTCGATTGTACCAATGGTCATAACCTTGGGTGCACCCAATGAACCCTTTATTATCCCTGTAGGACACTATTGAGGCACCCCTGTGGTGAACTCTGGTGGGATATTTCGAACCATAACCCACTAAATAACTCATCTCCATGGGATTTGAACCTAATATGTAACCAACTTGAGATTTGACAAAACCAAGGATCTCTTCGCGGTCCACCGTTCCAGCAGGACAGCGGAGGATTAGGTTCGAGTCTTGGAGGAAGTCAGAGTAGATGGTGAGAAGGAATGCCGCCGTGGTCACGTATTGCATGTTGTTCCATTGCCGGATGTATAGAAGACCTCCCGGGGTTCGATCGACGTTGTCGGTACCGTTGTTTTTGTTGAGACACGAGCATAGGTAGTACTCGGCCTTCGATCGGTATTGCTTCAGAATATGAGCGTGCTGCTTGTGTTTTTCTTTCTTCAGCAGCTGCAATGGAAAATTCAGAACATTTTCTCCTTTAATTAAGGAAACCATAATTAGATTATAAATAAAGGGTTGGGATGTTTTGAGAATCTAATTTAAACATATCACAAAAAAGTAAAAAGGCATTCGAAGCCCTTGTACTTTTAAAAAAAATTCAATGTGACCATTGTATTATTTTTTCTCTCATTATAGCCCTCCAACTCAGAAAATAAGTCCAATGTGACACTTTGACCAACGTTTTTCGACGTTGACCATTACGATGATGAAGTGGCAGTTTACAGTGCTGATGTGGCGGTTCAAATAACATGACATATAGGCTAAACTGGTAAATCAAACATGGCAAATAGATTATCATGTCAGTATCGTGGATCGTCCTGTCAACACAGTGAACTGTCACGTCAGCACTACAACTGTCAACCGAAGAAAAACGTTGGTCAAAGGTCCACATTGAACTTATTTTCTGAGTTGGAATGTTACATTGACTGAAAAATAATACGAATGCCACATTGATTTTTTTCAAAAATATTATTTTATCTAAAAGGTCTAAATTCGAATTATTATATTTATAAATTCATAATTCATTTGGTTTGGCAGTTGGAATAAGTCAAGTATGATCTACCTACAAGAACCCCCAACGTTTTTATATTTCTCTTTAGACTTTCATATTATAGTTTAACTATTTTTTTGGTTAGTTTTCCATCTTCATATCTCGTCTGATTTTGGAGAATGGGGGAATTATTCCACTAGATGTAAGCCAAGTGGCATTAATCTACTGGGCATTCAAAGGCAGCGAATTCTGCTATTGAAATCTAAAGAAGGTTCCTTAATTACACATCACTCCATCAGAGTTCTGCTATTGAAAAAAATCAAAATAAAATAAAATAAAATAAAATAAAATAAAAGTGGAAGTGGAAGTGCATGTTTCAAAGCTAAGCTATTATCACATCTTTGAATCTAGGAAAAAGCAAAACCCATCAAGATTTGAGTGAATCTAGGAAAGAGCATTTAATGGGTAACTTTGGACAATCCAATTAAATTTAATTTATGATAGCTTTTAGTTTAAAATATTATTTTATGCAATCTAAAAATACAAATAATGATAATAATTTTAGTTCAAATAAAACTGTTATATTATAATAGATTTTAATCTAAAATTTTATTTTTATCCTAAAAATTACATGATTAACAATAATTTAAATTATAACAAAAAATATTTTGACCATAATCTTTTTAAATTATGGTCGATATAATAATACAATTCATATAATTTATTATTGAGTGTAATATTTTTAATTTTAACTTAAAATATTATCTAATTCGTTATAAAAAGTATGTTATTAATAAATCTTTTTATTAAAAACGATTTGTACTAATTTTAATCGATTATGTTTTAGATTTTGGAGTGAAGAGAGAGAGTACCTTAGAGGCCATAATTTGAACACCGGCATATTTAACATCCCAGCTGAACTCGGAAATGGACCAACCAATGCCACCAAATGAAGCAGCATTGTCCAAAACATAATTCAAGTATTCCTCCTTGTCGGTGGCCTCGTAAAGCCATGCGGCGGCCCACAGCAGCTCATCCATATATCCGCTCACCGACGCATAGTAGCTCTTCACCACCGCTACGCTTCCATCGTATTTCCCTCTGTACTTGTCCCCAAACTCAAACAGCTAAGTAAAAACCAAAAACCCAATTTCAATATTTAATAATCATGGAAGATAATTTGTAAGTTAACTAGGGTGATCTTTGGGGTACCTCTTGGGCGTGGTGCAAGAGTAAGAGAGAGTAATGTGGGTTTGTTTTCTTGAACACGATCGATGCGGCCGCCATTGCCGCCGCCGTCTCTCCCGCCAGATCCGATCCCGGATTATTCTGATCGATCTTATAGGCTTGGCGCGAGGTCGTCATGTCCTCGGGGCGTTGCCAACAGTAATGGTCAGTGTCTCCATCGCCCACCTCTGCCCATAGTACACTGGGGCTGGTGTGTGCCTTAATGAAGTAATCCGTCCCCCATTTAATAGCCTCTAAAGCATGCTCCAATTCTCCGGCAACGGCGATTTCGTTGTGGAATTGGATGACACCCCAAGACAACATTGTTACGGTGAAAGCCATCGGGAGTCCAAACTTGACGTGATCTCCGGCATCATAATATCCCCCCACTAAATCCACCTACAATAACAGATAACTTTTAACTTAGAATTCAAAAGAAAAGAAGAAAAAGTCAGTTTGTTGGGAAACAATACATACTCCTTGTTCCAATCCGTCGGTGAGGCCAGAATGGTCGCGCCAAGTGACGCGTTGGTTGTAGGGTAGACGACCGGATCGTTGGGATTCGAAGTAAAGGAGGCTCTTGGTTAATGCTTCGGCATAATCAAATGGTTGAACTGCTCTTGCTGTTATGGAAATGGTGAAAAGAGCAGCAGACAAGAGAAGAAAGGTCCAATGGCAGGCGAATCTGGGGGTATTTTGATAATGCTTCATCTTCTTCCCCATTGTTTCCTTCCCTCCTAAACTAACTTTATATTTGTACTAATGTAGAGTGAAGGAAACATGAATTCTTAATTAAAGTATACACTCTGTAATCGAAGGCCATTTATGTATTATACTCTAATAATAAAAATTAAAGTATATATCGATGTTCATTACTCGTAAGCTTTACGGTTATGGTGTGGAGCTGAAAATTACAGTGCCCAATATGAAATCTTTTCCATGATATAAGAAAATGAAATATTTTCATTCGTGGCCATGAAAACAGACAATCCCATTGTATGATAGCAATTGTATCTGCACTGCCCGATAAAGTTAAACATGTTTTCCATGCCATTTCGCCTTTTCTTTCCTCTTTTTTTTTTGTCTTTTTCAATATTAATTTAACTAATTAATTAAAGCAAATTTGTAATCCTACCAAATTGTTTTTGCTGACAAGTGTTTTTTAAAAATTAGTTGATGTATCAGTTTGAATTCATTAATTTTTCCACATAATAATAATTTATATTATTTTTACGATATTTTTCAAATTTTGATAACACTAGAAAATTAATTTGCACGAGTACGTTTCAGGTGAAACATGGTGAATGGTGCTTGAAGAACAAAACGGGAAAACATTTTATTCATGGTTAGTCCAAAATCTGTCGGTCGAAGTTCCTCCACCCTCCACGTGTCGACGCACAAAACTATTGCGGTCAGCAGCCACTCAGTTAGGTCAGATTATAGTTTCATATATAATAGCAAAATGATTAATAAATCATAAATATATACGAGATGAATTCATATTTAAACTTAAATACTATATTATTTTAAAGAAAACAACTATAAATTCAAATAATTTGTAAAATTATTTTTAAATTATTTGAAGTGATTACAAAATAATTTATGTTTATAATATTTATATTAATCATTAATAACACGTAAATATAATTGATTGTATTAAAAATCTTTAAAAAATTAATATTTATTGTAATTACTCAAATTAACGTTCCTAAAATAAACTTAAAACATATTATATACAGTAATTATAATATAGGAAGATAACTGGGGCCACCGACTTGCTTTTGGTTGGAGTGGACCATGTATTAGGGGTGAGCAACGAAATCGAGAAAACCGAAAAACCGACACGAATCGAGTAAAACGGTTCGGTTTGGTTCGGTTTGGTTTTAAACGGTTTGGTTTTCGGTTCGGTTTAAAGGTTTTATTTTTTTGATTCGGTTCGGTTCGGGTTTTTCATATGGAACCCATTTGTTCCATATTGAACCGAATAGACAATTTTTGTAAAAAAAATTATAGTTTCAAGTGATTTTTTCATTGAAAAACCGAACCGAACCGAAAAACCCGAACCGTTAAAAAACCCGAACCGAACCGAAAAAACCGGTTTCGGTTTTTTAACTATTCGGTTTCGGTTTCGATTTAAATATTAAAAAACCGTTTATTTCGATTCGATTCAATTTTTGGTAAAAAACTGAACCGAACCGAACCGAATACACCCCTACCATGTATGTTTCCCGGCCGACATTCTGCAATTACTATTACGCAAGGACCCCATTAACCTCAATCACCACGTACCCTGAAACCCCTCTATTTATTTACCCTTTGAAGACTTCTAAAATCCTTCCAATTTGAACTCAAATGTTCAAAATTTTATTCTCCAGCTGCTCTTGAATGCTAGCTTTTGTTTTTCCAAATATTTCATGTTTGCATCGGATCGAATTAATTTCAAATAATGATACTAAAATTATTTTAAGTTAGGTTTAGCTTGTATTTATGTATTTTAATATTTAAGTCAACTCATCAACAAATCTATGGCTCTTAACTTGTGGTGAAAATAGGTACTTTTGTTTTTGTCACTGTCTCATGTTTTTCATGTCATGTACTTGTATATAATAGACGATGATGTATGTGTCGTTGAGTTATCCTATCATATGCTTTGAATTAAATGTATTCACACACAAAAAATACTTAGTTAAAATACAACAAATTAGGTTGGTTCAAAAGATAAGTAGCTTGATATCACTTAAGTAAGGATTCGGGTTCAAGTCTTTATGTATGTAAAAAATTTTCATTTGGGGACTCACCCACTAAAGTCAGATATGCGATGTGGGTATGTTCGAATTAGTTAAGTTAAAGTTTTAGAACTGGGAGGACAAAAAAAAGACAATCAAATTTACATGACAGATGTGTTGGATTAAAATCCATAATTATGGGCACATGTTTATAATATATATTGTTATAATAAAATATGACATAAATTAAGTGACCAATTATATTATAAAGTCATAAGATATTAGAAGTGTCATGGAAATAAAAGAGTAGATACTATTAAAGTTGTATTTATAAGTCGATGAGGGGCAGAGTTATAAATATATACAATAATTGATTCTTAAATCAGATATACAAAGGGGTTATGAACATTAAGAAATAGACAATTTCGTATATACTCTTATCTACTCAAAGTGTTTATATTTAAGAGAACTTTGTCTTTTTGGAAGATCACAACCAAAGAAAGATTCAAAGATTTCAACATATCAATTAATTCAAGTACATTTCCGCATCTAGTATTCATTTTATTCTTGATGATTTGACATGATTAGATCCTGGTTAATTTCATATTTATTATTATTTAGTTCTAACAAATGGTATCAAAGTAAATACCAAAGTTTATCCACACAAAATATATATCTATATTATTAAAAAATAATTATTTTAAAAAAAAATTGGTTACAAAAATAGATTTTTTAAAAAATTAAATAAATTCACATTTAAACATATAACAAAATTTCTATATAATAAGGACGATAAAAAAATTTAACAATCAAAACACCAATAGAAGAAACCATTTGATCACTTCTTTAGATCTTATCATTTCTTTTGATCTTACGAGTTCTAACCTCGTTTACTGTCCATTAAAATTAAAGTCAATTTTTCTTGAAGCTCAAAAGATGATATGATTTTACTATCTTTCAAACTTTGATAGATGGTATTTTTTTATTGTTGAAAGTAGCCGTTGTGCATGGCTGTGTTATGATTAAACACATATAAAGATGTTGCGAAGGCAACTAAGAGAAGTTGTTAGTGCTGTGGGCTCGTTATCTAGGGTTGTTAGCTAATAATGTAACCTCCTCAGACCGATGCGGGTAACCTGATCTGATATGGGATGTCATATTAGGGCTACCGGAGCGACCAACTGTAAAATCTCGGAAAATTTAAAACTTTTGTCAAAACATGTAACTCATAAAATCATTTATCAGTATTCAGAAATAAAATAGATTTTCAGACTCATATTTAAAATAAAATACAATTACATACCTCCTAATCACATGTACCATACTCTGATAACAACACCGTAAGAACTCCTTTACTGAAGTCGATAGTTGCACTGGTACAATTATTTTAACCTGCAATGGTGAGTAATAGAGTGTGCTTTGGAAAACTCAGTAATACATAACTACCAGATGATGCTGAAGAACGTGCAGATACAAATAAATATATATTTCCTTATTGGTTCAGATATTTACAGATTTTTAGACTGAGCTGAGGTCCCATTGATATTTCAGGTAGTAACAGATAATATTCAGTTCAGATGGAAATATTTCATATATCTAGGTTCAGGAGATCAGAATAGGTTATCTAGTGTGTTCCCGTAAAACCAGTAAAAAGATACAGATCTTTTAAAATATATTTTTAAAATATGAACACTACCCCCATCCGTCAAGTCCAATATGTGTAGGTTCCCCAGAACCATACACCCACCGTCAAGTCCAGTAAGGCCCTAAGCACAAAGTCGAGGAGCCGATAAGTAAGACCCTGAGCACAAAGCCGGGGAGCCTCCAGGTATACTTCATCCAATATTACCCCCCAAATAAAACATGTTCCGTCCGTAAACGGATATATCAAAAATCAAAACATAATCCAGGTCAAGTATCAGATCAAAATCCAGGTCAAGTATCTGATCAGAATCCAGGTCAAGTATCCTATCAGAATCCAGGTCAGGTATTATAACATAAATCAAATAAGAAATCAAGTAAAATATTCAGGTGATTAGGGAACACACCAGAGTTTACAGAAATTATTCAGAGGTACTGGATAATCTTAGTAGACAGAGAAACATGAATCTTCAGTATACCGATAGGATATCAGAATTTAGAATCACTATGGAAGAGTTCAATAACTGACAGAATCATAAATTATTCAGAATGAGACTTGAGCTGATAAAGAATAAATGAAGGTTCAGGACAATTACAGTCTATGTCGATCAATTTCATTATCAACAACTTCATATGAATATCTCCCATAATTAATGCTTGTCGACTGGTCAATTTATTGTCCTTACAGGGTAATTACACTTTAATACCACAAATTTTAGTCCATATATCATCTTCGGAATCATCGCTGAATAAATCTTCCAATGTCTTTATTTCATTGTTCACACTTCCACTATATCATGAAATGTTGACGTGCTTGATTTGTAGATCATGATCCATAAAAACATTACATCATGTATGTTCATTAACGTTTCCAGACTCATCCAAAGCACTCATTTAATCATTAGTCCTTGAGGTTACTTAATTCATTTAGCAGTCAAGTCCATTCTAGTTATTTCGAGATTTTTCCAGTGTAATTCAGACGTTTCTGAATTTCGGATACATATTGTACTTTTGTTCAATTCAATTTGGTCTTTGTGGTTGATTTGTTGAACAAATATTCAATCCTTAGTGTTGAATATGATTTAGAGTTGAGCTAAGCTGAATACTTCCAAAATTATCATCGAGCCAAACTTGAGTAGACGTACACTCATTCACGTGATATATATGTCATTCAGGTATTGACATGTCATTAAGGTTGATCGACTCACTGAAGTTGTGTTCCATAACTTTTAAGGGTATTACAACATCCATATTTAATTGGATTCCTTAATTAATCCAAAACATCTACTTAGTATAGGTCATAAGGGTATTTTGGTCATTTTGGTGTTCAGTTCTATTCCATTCATTTCAGAGCTCGAGGATATCCAATCATTCCTGAGCTTGGTGATATTCTGAGTCATTTCCATTCCAA